TCGTAAATCGCGCATACACAGGTTAGCTACTATATTCATCTCTCGTTTATTTTTTTTAGAGAAAAACTTACTATATTGATATCTAAAGAGAGGATTATTATGTTACGTTACTCGTATATAGCTATAATAACATGAAAAAAATTGTGTTTTGTTTAATACTTTTATCATCTCGTTACAGCTTTTTCTGACCCATTTTTGTTTATCGTTAACAAAGTGGCGAATTCAATTCTTTTAAGACTATTCAGAATAACATTTGGGACTTATTTTGTATATTTATCTTTATTATTTTAATTTTATTATTTTCATCAACGTCCCACTGCTGGAAATGAGTATTTCTGTCAAGATCTGTAGAAGATGTTAGACAATTACCTATTACCAAGCTGAATAGTTAGTTTGGGCGTATTGTGCTAAGAGTGTATTGTCTTGAAGGTATTTTAAAAACGAGTTTACGTTACGGTTACGTTTTTTGATTCAACTTTTCTCCGAACTCTAAATCGAGAAATCAGAAATCAAATGTGTCCTTTCGAGATCATCAGAGAAAAAATTGGCTCGAATAGTACCATGAAGCTGCAACATTAATCTGTATCTGAAGATTTGATTTACATTACAGATGCTGTTTTTGTACTCCACAGAAATCACATCATTTTATAAAATAGACAGAATCTTTGTAACGTAGTTATATCTAATATTAAATATATTATATATGGAAAAGGATGATATGGTTTTGGCCAGAAATATCGGGGTCATGTCAGGTCCGATCTTGGTTAGCTTGTCGGGACTAATTTAGTCCTACGAACATGAAAACGTCATTAGTGACAGGGAGTTCTACCCTTTCCGTTGTTATCGCATCGATTTAGAACTGACAAACCTCATTCTGATTCGGAATGGATGCATAATGTATTATGCAATAAAAAATCATGACCGAAAGCAAACTTAGAATAATATTTTATGCTACATTTACTCCAAAAATGGATTATATTACTATCTCGAAAACCGAATAGCAGGTCTACTTTTGAATCTAATATCAATATTACCAATCCATAAATAATAAAACCAATGACAATTTTATATTGCACTCGTGAAACTACAGTTAGAAATTTGGTTATATTTGGGATCAATTTGTAATAGTTTGTACTGCAGTTACACTAATATGCATCTATCAGAACAGTATGGAATTACTATGTCGCTAGTATTGCAATTTGAGAGTGCGAAATGTCTTAATTTCAATATCGATTTATTGGAATTTATTTTAAGAATAACCCCACAGTAAGCGATGCGTCTACTCCAATTTGTTTTGTCTTCATTATGTTTTTTTTAATGGAATAATAACGCAGCCTGCACTATCAGTATATGCTGGCTGGACACCACAGAGCGATGACAGGTGAGGATGTAGTCAAGTTACTCGTAGTTGGTCTATGGCGACAATTTCTTCAAAAATTAACCACTACAGTTTCCAAGTGAATCACTTGGAAGTCGACCTGATGGCCTATATTGCTAGTAATGAGAACTACGATCCCCTTTATCAACAATAATTGCCTCTCCTATCTTTTTCTTGTTAGATAGTAGGTGTATTAAGTATTATTAACAAATAATTTTTAGAACCAAGCTATCTTTATACTCTATCTTTTTCTTCTATCATCATTCTTTAAGTTAACAACTCATTGAAATCAAATCTGAAGGAATCACAATACAATATTGTAGATGTGTTGTAGTGGGATCCTTATTTCTATGTATATTGTTAAAAAGTGACGTTGTTAACTTTCTTCGCAGACTATCATGTGTTGATCAGTATCAAGGTTACCACATTAGCGTAATATTATAATATAATATAAATATCACAATCCTAACAAAAAATTAAGTCAGTAGATCAACGGACTTTACAATATTTGTATTTGTATTTACAAGTAAGAATATAAAATTATAATACACACTCCAATTAGATTATTTGTTTTTCACCCAACTTTAGATATGAAATATATAGGCTAACTAAGTGTTTTAGTTGTAAACCGATTTCCACCATCGATTAAATTAATCTTCAAATAAAAAATAATTGGATTACAATCGGTCCAAAAACAAACTTTACCCACAATGACTTTAAACTTATTAATTCCTCTTTTATTAACCTCTTTTTGCATCGGGGGTTAAAGTATTTGAACGAATCTTCTAAAGTTACAGATGTGAAAATTGATAAAAAGATTCGAATACTTGGAAAAAAAACGTAATAATCGTTATAAAATTCGATCCAAAATTGTTATAGAAGGTTCGTTTATGGTTAAATGGGTATGGTCTTACTTGTGTTTTGTAATATATATGTTTTAGCTGTTCCGGTTCAACTGTCAGGCAATTTTGTGTAGTAATTAATTAAATAGACCTGTTTTTTAAAATAATTTGAAAATTAGTATGTATTTGAAAGGAATTTCTTTTATAAATTGAATTCATTTTTAGTCGAATCAATAATAAATACGTACGACGAGTGTGCTGTATGTATGTACAGCTCCAGTGAGATGTACCCATATAGCGCTGATTTTCTTAACTCCTTTACCTTTAGCATGCGTACGGGTTGCTAATACCCATTTCTCGAATAGGAGACTTAATACGCTTAACAACAAATACATAAAACATTACAACCAAAACTAAAAAGAACAAACTTTGAATAAATTATTTTATAGTTATACCTACTTATAAATCTAAGCAGTGAGAATTTGATGTTTCGTTTCATGGGATACCTACTGTCTCTTGTGCATATAATCAGGAATTATAAAACTTGTAGAGCTTTATTTTTGACTGAAAGATAGCTAGGCCAACAATAGATAATCAATTTTGAAATTTCTCAAATTGAAAATGAATCTTCTAAAATCTTAACAACAACGTGATATTTTTTTTTTAAAACAGCTTTAGGACTCTTTTATTTATTCAAAATTTAAGGACATTTGTAAGGATTCTAAAATTCCTAATTACCTAATATCTATCGCACTCTACATTCTGATACTTTTGAATATTAATATTGTATAGACTTTTTTAACTTTTAATGACTTTGTAGGTGTATTATCATCATCATATCAGCCTTTAACTGTCCACTGCTGAATATAAGCCTCTTTTTGCCAGTAGTTGCCACGCTTGGCAGGCTGATCGGCAACCGCAGTCAATCTTTAAAGATGTTTTAAGAGGGACGCTGCTGCTCATCCTTCGCCCTCCCTTAGTCGGCTCTCATGATAACTTACGGCTCTCTTGTAGGTGTATAATCGAATTAAATTGACATCTTTTTAAAGACTTAATTAAGCTGTCAACTGGAGTCGTCATAATGTCGTCTCTTTAAGAAAAACGTTCACCAGCGGTTAAACAGTTCGTATAGTCTAGTCCACGCGCCCATTTGAAATAATAACGGAATGTTGTATCGCGTCTTGTGCTCGCAAATAGCTGGAATTCAGAGAGGATCAGTTAATAGATACTGGAGGGGGGTAAGGGATTGTTAAGCAATGGAGTTTGACAGCCCCATTGCTAGCAATATGTCTTATCAGGTCGACCTCCACGTGGTTCCCCCTGGAAACCGTGAATAATTCTTGATGAATTCGTCACGGTGGGCTAATTGACCTGCTTCATCCTCATCTATCATCCTTCACTGGTGTTCCGCCAGTGTATACCGATAGCGCGGGTATACGCTGGTGGAGTACTAATGATCTTTGTAAAAAAAATTAACTAGACGATGTTAGTTCATTGAGGATATATGAAAACAAATTATATGAGGCGTATTAATAAGAATAATAGAAGCTAAAATAATTTTTAATAGAATTGTTGCTATATCTGATTATATGGTATGTTTGTTTCGGCATTAGGTATATAAAAACTACTGCACCAAATTGGATATGCTTTTTATAAATGTATTCCATTAGTTTTAATCCTATATGATATACATAGCTTATATGATATAGATTGCTTAGCGATAAGGCCGCCTTTTGTATCACTTCTCATTAATATTTACTGTATTTGTTATTTCTCTTTTTACTTGGTGCAATAAAGTGTAAATAAATAAATAAATAAAATACATAGAGTGTCTTCATACAAATGCTTCGAGAAAAGCGAGTCAACTTAGTTATAAGCGTTTCCTCTATAACTTCTATAATTAATTTTGTTTTATAATTTTTGTATGTGTTGTTGTGTTGTGTTTTATAATTAAATATAGATATGTACATAAAACACTAACGAAAAAATTAGCTAATTTGATAATTAGCAGACAAAAAGTCGTGCCGTTTTTGAGTCTCGATGCTCTATCTACATAATCTAAGGTTTTAATTTAAAATCTGTTGTACTTTTTGTTTCGGTACAATATCTGAAAGTGTTTTTTAATGGGTGAAAATAGAATGGTAGCCCCCCTGCGCTATCGAAATATGCTGGCGGAGCACCAGATGATAAGTGAGGGTGAATGCAGGTCAGTCAGCCCATCATAACAAATTCAACAAGAATTAACTAGGATGATAGATTTTCCATGGCGTACTAAGTGGAGATCAATCTGGTAGGGCATATTCTTATGGGGTTGTTAAACCCCCATTACTAACATTGATTTTCCATTTTTTATTTAGTCTTTTAATAGTCGGTTTTATTCTACTAGGCATGAAAATGTTACCTATGTTACTTTTTTATAATCGATAATTATGTGTCTATGTCGATGTGTAAGTATTTGGCGTTAATAAGTACTAAACAAAAGATTCAATTAAATAAATAGACTAGATCAAAATTAAGTAAGTAAGTAGTATAGTAATAATTTATAAAATATAATTAAAAAAAATTAACAAAAAAGGAAGTGGCTCTTGCAAATAGAATGTTGAGAAAATTGTTGAAAAAACATTGTAACAGCACTTCGAGTGAAAATATTTTCGTTTCATTATATTTTCACTTCTTTTCCATTTTCTCTGTTTTATAGGAAATGTTGTAAGGCTGGCAATACCGGTATCCTCTCGGGCTCGAATCGCGGGGAGCGACTGAGAGCAGACTAGCTAACGATAAATGAAAACGAACCAGTCAGCATCACGTGCGCGAACGCGACGGGTGTGTGCCGTGCCAGGCCGCTGTATTATTCACGCGTCACTTGACAGTTGTACCGTACTGAATAATGATTATAGACCGACACTGTGTAACGTAGTGATTGTTGCTGCATACTTGTACGTGGGGAATTTATACATAAAACTGGTTATAATAATGAAAATTATAATAACAGTGAGGCGGGATGCGAGAGGTGAACGCTCGTCACAGCGGCGCCGACTCTCACCGTCCACTATTGTCTAAGTGCCACGGAATCTTGGTCCTTCCTATCGGATTCCATCGATGAAACATCCGTCCTTCGACGTGGACTGCACGCGAAATACTTGCGGTTGCTCATCAATGATGTTTACAAAGACTTTATAGAAACAGATAAGATAAAACTTTAGATACCTACTTGTCTACTTATTTCCTTATTACATATGTTATTATTTTTAAATATAAACATTGTAGCATAACACGCGATTATCCATAATAAAGAATGTGCAAATTCTAAATATAAGTGTAGTTACTACTTACCTACTTTAATAATACTGGGTAAGTACATTGTGAACGTCTGCCCCACTTATTTCAAACATTTCTTTTTGCAAAAACATCAAAGAAATGGTAAGTACCTAAACTACTTATTAACTGTTTGAATAAACTTTCTCTAGTGCAGAACCCAGATAGGTAGATTAGTACAGATACTCATCTAGGTAGGTTCCCACCTACATAATATTACATTAACATTTCAATGCATTTGTGGTGCATTTCCTGCTGAACTGTAAACAGAAAACAAACAAGCATCTTTATTATAGATACGTTAATGTTTGTGCTAACTAAGCCTTTAATAATCTGATTAAATACATCCAGATATTTGGCCCCAATTCTAGACGGAGACACAGTTTTTTCCTAAAAAAATAAAACAGTACCGAGGTACCTATTTTGACTCATAAAGCTATTTTATAGTTTTATATAGGAAAGTAGACTCTTTATGTATATTTTTAAGGTATTTTGCTAAATATAGTCAATATTGTAATGTAGAACTACATCTCTATCTATTTACATCTATTTATTTATGTCGTGCGCACATTTAGGTATCTTTATACCTCAAGATGGAGCATTGGTTGCCAAAAACGGACCGTAATCTAGTCATCCAAAAACAACTGACTGACATATTTTTAAAATGTTTTCAGTGTTGCAAGTAATTGTACTAAAATACCTAGTTAGGATTATTTTATTTGAATTGCGAACTATTTTTTTCTCATGTAATATTTATATACATATGTGTATATATTATATTATATACAAATTTATATTGAATTAATTTCCTACCAAACATAGTTATAATAATTTCGTATTGTTTTTTTATTTTCAATTCAACCTTATTTATTTATATACTTACATTTCTTCCACTCACTGATTAATAACTATATTATGGTATTCCTATTTAATAAATTTAAGAATAAAGTTGCCTAGTTGGCCTGTTTTTGGCAAAGCCTTTGTATTGACACACTCCATCTAGAAGTATACGATCCATTACTTGCCTTAAATATTTTCCAGTGGAAAAACCGAAAAGACAAAGTGCGAAAATTATCAGTAGGTACTAATTCATTTATTTAATATACATGAGGTTCAAATCCAATCCATTACCCATGTTGATATGCAGATAAATATATTAGGTGTATTATAATAGACACCTACTAAACAATGTAAGCTATTGTGTGTGAAAATAGAACCAGGCAGTACATTAATTTAATGTACTAAGACGCTATTATTTCACGATACTCTCATCAATATTATACACATAATCCAGTCGAGCTAAGTTGAAAGAAATAACATACTACTTACCTAACATACCATAAATATGACTGAATACAGTGGCATAACTGTAACTGTAAAATAAAAAGAATTGGTACAAAATTGACTTGGTACAGACTTAGAGAGAAATAGACAACGCAAGTTTATAATATAATCGATGTAATTAGTGAGCTCGTTAATTTTTTTCTATTGTCATCTGTGATGTTATCAAGACTACTTATTGATGTTGCAAATTTGATTTGACCCTACCTCAAGATATTATTTTGAATATAATCTAGATATATTGGTAATTTTCTCAATACTTTTGAATTTTCGAAACTCCTAATCGAACATTTGCCCGAGTTCTTTTCAATTTACAAAATTTATTTAAACCGGATATAAATACAAAAATGTATTGTGTGCATATAAATTATACCAATTCATTTAGCTATGTAAATATATAAGAAAATATTTTAAACGCAATTTTTATAAAATTAACATATTTACATTAAATTTTTACTTTTATAGATAGGACTACTATCTATACTGTCTGTATTGAATTTTACCTCAATCGGTAGCTGTAGCAGATAACAAAACTTGAGCATTCCAACAGAAGAGTGAAAAAATACCCAAGTATTTATCTACACGATTGTTTATTTTATTGATGACATAAATGTTCTAAAAAAACAAAAATACTCTTAATGTGATTAATTTGTCTTCAAACGACTTTTTTTTAAATAATTGTAACTTATTTTATGGTCATGCTACATACATAAGGCAAGGCATTATTTTATCAAGTAACGGATGATTAATTCATATCGAGTCAGGTCTTATTATGAGAAACGGAATAAATATCATAATTAACTTGTTTATCGAGAATAAGGTCAAATATAGATTGATAGAAAACGATACTTTGAGACACAAGAACATGCAGATAGATCGGCAATGGACGGGAAAGCAGTGTGATTAATGGGTATCTCATGATACGCCAATAAAGAGTTATATAACGGACTACCCTCTAGCCCTCTCGAACAATGTCCTTCGTTTGTATACTTGACCCAATTATTATGGAGTTGGCTACATTCCCGCGCTCAAAGTTTTAATCTGTCGGAAAACAATGCTCGATGAGTGCATTAGAGGGCCCAACCGCCTAAAGCATCTACACATTCAGGAGACATGCGAATGTTAACGGATACAGAGGAGAAAGAAGCCAAAGGATTTTGTGTAGAGTGTGATTCAAAAGCTCACGGGGCTCGTAAAGACGATGTCGTCCTCCACACGCACGGATGAGAACCGTTCATCTGTACAAACATATATGTAAAATGGAATGAAACGAACGAACACGTAGTAACTCCTCCTATTTCATGTTTTCAAATTTTTCCCCGTGTGTTATGTATTGAGAAATCTACCATTTGCATCTTGATCAAACACCGAAACACGAGTATTCAAATAAATGACACGATATTCAGAGAGACATTTTCGACACCTCGTCACTTAGATGCGGGTTAAAGTCTCATCAGCTCTCATGCGATACATTCAGCGTAATGTGTTAGACGCGTAGAAATGTTTTAACATTCTGCTCATTGGTAAAATTAATTTCATGTTGATATATTTGCATTTTATCAAACGATAATTTACATTGTGTCAAAAAGGAAATATAACTAATAATTAACTTGTAATGGTCGAGTCTTAGTCACTGTACATTGTCATATACATGTGTTTACACTTAATGAGGCTAAACAAATTACGTAAGTATTTATTTATTAATTAGACCGCTAGATATATACACAGTAGTGTACAGCATTTACAAAAGCCGACAAGTGCAACATAGAATTGTCACTTGTTAGTCTGCTGACTTGAAACGTTATATTTAACGTTTTTTAGGAAGCACGGGTAGAACAAGCTGTATGCAGAGTACTTGGGTGGGACCAGATCAGATAGTTTTTTAATAAGTGAAGTTATATTTCCATAATGTTGATGAACAGTCGGTAACACACATGTGATAAACTGTTGTCATAGATAATAGACATCAGGCGTGTCGTAATATTATTGACCCGTTCTTTGTACAAAAAATAATTTAAACACTTCTGTTTATCTGTCACACAAAGTTCACTCGGTCATTGCTATATGCATTGATATTATCTTGAATCGTAAATTGAAGTTACAAATAGAAAAAAAAATATGTTAGTATTTGGAGAAAAAAGTATGTTGTTTCAGTATAATATAAGAAAGTATATGTCAAAATAAAGTGAAGGATTAAGATTCATGTGGCACTTATAATAATGATATGTTTTTAAATTCATTTAAAAAAATAACTTAGTATTCAATTAGTAGATATTCCAAAGTGTAGTGAATACAATTCTTTTTTACAGTTATTTCTTTAGATTTAAATGTAATATCTAAGAGCAATGAACACGATTGTATGACAAAGACCATTATATTACAACACTAGTATCTCGTACTTAAACTTTATTTGTGTGCAATGCTGACAAGTACTAGCCCTTGAGTGTGTGTGTGAGTGTGTGCGATGGCGCGAAGTGCTGTGGTGTCTTCAGCCATTCTCTTGCTGTTGGTGGAGTCTGCGTGTGCGCATTACACGCCGACATGGGCAGTCCACGTACCGGCGGGAAAAGAGGCAGCGGATGCTGTAGCCAGAGATCATGGTTTCATCAATCTCGGAGAGGTAAGTAGTTGTTTGTAAACGGTCTTGCAATAACTTTCAAATAAGTTTATGGCTAAATAATAGTTTGTACCGTTATAGTAAAATAATTATTTAAGGATTCGACGAGAAAGATATAGAACAAAGGTCGGAATATAGATTAGTTTAAGTTAAAATTGTTTGCAAATACAGTTTATAAACAAAAAATGAAATAAATAGTAGGGAGAAAACAAGATTTTTCTTTATAAAATAATGACGATAATAATAGCCTAACGAACGAATGACGACATGGTAAAAAATATATATAGTAAAGGTAATATGAAATATTTAAAAATTGATTTATCGAAATTTTGTTCTAACAAATAATACCTAAAAAGACATATGTCTAACACGGATTGATTGATGCTCTTTCCATGCAATATTTCTCTAAATTAATATCCATTTTTAGTATTGATAACAAAAGTAGAGGGTACATTTTAGATACGACAATAAACATAATAAAAATGAATAAAAATTTATTATACTGGACTATATTTTTTTTATATCAGTCGGTTTACGTATCGCATAAATAAGGTTTCGAATCTCTCTTGGTCCCAAAGGCTTGATTTGGGTCCAACGGAAACGAACTTTGCCAATATGACTTTGTTCTAGGTGTTGTGTAAAGAATGATAAACTCCAAAAACTCCTAATTTTACTTATGGCGCAGGTGTATTTTACCTGCTAAGTTTGAGAAGCAGGCAATTACTATATCAAATATATTGTTTTCAAGTACAGATTTTAGTCAAATGAGTGAAAATTTTCTTCCCCGAAATTTGGATTTGAGCTCGGTTGGGAAGGGGTTTGATAAGGTTGTTTTACATATAGTTAGGATTACGTTTTTTTTAGATTTGATACTCGTATATTATATTATATACTTGTATAGGAATTTTAGGTAATAATTTGTTTATTTTGAAATTATAGCTACATTATATTATACAAATAAATATGCACATTCAATTTTCTATTTTAGGGTTTGTTAAGAATCTTTAAATTCATATACAAAAAGTAATATAGATATTTAATAAATCTTACAGCGATGTGACACTGATAGATAGAATTTTTATGATTATTCAAATTATCAGTTTATGTGATGAATTAATTTAAATTAAAAATAAATTTTAGATTACAAATAAAATAGTGTTTCCTTATGAATCACAATACAATATAAAATATTACAATTGAATTAATTTTAATGTCAACCGTGAAGTACTTCATCGTTGCTTTCTTAGCAGCCTATACATTCCGTATAATTTTAGATTAATAATTGAACGATGACCAATCAATTCCATTCAAGAGTTATAATTGACTGAATGTTAACATTGACCGATTTATAATTTCCTTTAGCGGAAGCAATTTGCTCGAAACGTTCCTCCTAGTACGTACTATCTGGCATTAGTATTGTTTTCTAATACAGTTTCACCTTCATATTGTCATGGTCACTGTAAGTTATAAATTAAATCGGAATTTGGTTTCGATTGTAAGAAAATGGAATTTAGGTTACTAGCCCCATTAGGAACTATTGTTTACATCCAGTATAACTCAGTCGCGGTTGGATTTGGATCCTTACCAAGACACTATGTTTGCTTATTGTCGTTATAATGGGTTTACATTAGATTCAGACAGTGAATAGCGAGCGAGAAATAGAGATTGGAAATGGAACCAAACTAATATTATTAATAGATAATGTATTTTCAATTACTACAAGACATTATTGAATATATATATATATATATATATATATATATATATATATATATATATATATATATATATATATATATATATATATATATATACAACAAATGTATACCTGTTGGTTTCCATAGAATTCATCATCATAGCTTGTTTTGTTTCCTCATTATGTTTATTTACATACCTGTCAGTTATTGTGTCAGAAAATCGTATATTTACCACATGTTCAAAGAAAACTCCTTGAGGTTAAGAGCTTTATTATTGGATTTTCACGAAATGCATTGGTATAAAATTAGCGAGTTATTTCAAGTGAGATTCAAAATTGTGTGGCGTAATACGATTTGAGGTAATACTCCATATATTATGGCCACTACACTCGCTTTGTTTTCAACATCTTAATAAAGAGTGCGTTTATTTGTTATGGATTCATACGTGGAATAATATGCACGTGCTTTATTGGTTTCTCTTTCTTATTAATTATATATATAAGTATATTATAGTATGTTATATATTATTATATATACATTTATTTATGCGTAATGAAAAATCGGTTTTGTTATTCAACACTGGAATTTAAGCCTGATGGCATAATATTATGTATTTTTTCAGCACTGGAACAAATTGGAAGCTCGAAAATTTACAGATTGTTTGATTAGGATTATTTTGTTTAATTTCGCTACCATTAGTATGTGTGTGACTACCAGCACTTGAAGTTTGACCATCACAATTACTATCAGAACTTCTACAACCTTTGGCGAAGGTAAACAAGGCATTTCTGGCAAATTATTAGATCGCTGCTCGGAGCCTAGTGTTAACCGCTTGCCACTCAGACTGTGAAAAACAACGTGTCGTAAAACGTGCGTGAACAAAATGGCAGCTAACCCCTTAAAGGCGTGGCCTATGTTTAGCAGTGGACGGTTAATAGCTGATATGATGATGGTGATGAATGGAATTGTAACCCCATTTGCGCTATCGGTATACGTTGATAGGGCACCAGTGAGTTATGATGGGTGAAGACGAAAGCAGGTCAGTTGGTCAATCCTGAAAAATGCAACAAGAACTAACCACAATGGGTTCCAGGCGGGTGTGGAGGATGCATCGTGTGGATGTTAATCTAAGGTTAGGCTTAGAATTCTATAGTTTAAGTCTATAGTTTATATATGACCTAAAGAATACATATGCTGCGTATCAATAAGAGTGATGTTTATATAATTAATAGGAATTCTACGAGATCTAATAATATTAATGAAGTTGGCAGGCTATATTGTAGGATAATGATGAAACATTTTTGTTCTAATTATAATTATTTACTTACGGTCAGTTCACATTTAAGCTACAAAAATTAGGATGTTTTTTAATACGATATTTTTAAAAGGAGTATATACATATAGGAGGATAAAAAATCAAAGTTAATCCAAACGAAACCACTAACAATAATAATGAATTACAAAAATCCAGGGAAGTTTCTTGTGCTGTCTGTGAATTGAAATAAATAGCTTCTGCTCCCTTCCTTAAATCTACAAAAACAGTCCTACATTATAGAAAACTTCGTCCTGCGAAGGGAGACAGAAATAAGCGTGAAATTTAAGTGGGTTTTATTTAAAGTGGCAAGCGTTTCATTTGCTTTAAGATTTCTATTTCTGTACCTGTCACCGATGCATTAGAGCGCCGGTTCCTAGACCTTTCCTTGTACACCAGAATATGATTTTAGTATTCAAAATGCTATAGGTTATATAAATGACCGATTCGTATGTTGTCACAGTTATAATTTGTTTTATAATCAATTTTTTCTTGCCATCTATTTTAATATTGGATGTAGATTGATACAATTTAGTTTCTCCATATAATTTCAGCCATTAATTGTCCTTTGCCGAATATAATCTTTCCCCATAAGGGGGAATTTTGCCAGTAGTTGCCACGCTTGACAACTACCGGCAACTAACCACGTTAGGACTTTAGAGGTATTTTAAGAAGGACACTGCTGCCCATCCCTCTACCATTAAGTTTTTTAGTAATTTTTTACGACACCTACAGAAAAGTAAGGGGTGGCCTATTTTATGCCAGGACCATACGGCTTTCTCCATATGCTAATGACAAAATTTAAAAGTAAAAACTTGAGATTTTGTTTTAATGTTAATAAATAACATTTGTTTCATTATTATATATTTTTATTGTGTTATAAATAAGCAAGAAAATACTTTATTTGCTTGCTATTTTTGAGTTTATAATTTGTTTGGGAGACAGGCGTGACAGATATGTATGTATGTATGTAATAAGAAAATTATTTGAGAAATTTAAATAAAAATAAGCGAAAAATTAGCCAGATGTTAGATATATCACTTCATTAAAAATATCATAATATAAACGATTTCGCGAGCATCTGCCATTTACTTTACTACAAAATTATAATCTCCATGTATTAGAAAAGAGCTATAAGATTAAACGGCAGAAATTAGATCAGAACCAGACTATAATTACACTTTGGGAGTGCTTCAGATAGCATCCATCAAAAGACTTGACAACTTTGTTTATCTACTCGGATTATGATGGTTTTTATAACACGACTAATTTAAAAATAATGTAATAGAGTGATACGAGGGATATGGATAAATTGCACCTATAAGCGTTAATAAATAATGTATGCAATATTTTTTTTTGTACTATGAACAAAGTCACAGATATCGATTTAAGAAGATATATATTCTTTATTGCACTAAAACATACAGTAACAACAATAAGTTAATAACAATGTTAGATATGGCATGATAAATTGAAATAGTCTATGTAAAATTTATAAAGTTTAGGGACATGTTTTGAATAACATAGATGGCGTGGCGGCCGATATTGTTTAACATTTATTTTTTAAGTAAGACCTTAGATATTAGATAAATTGTTAAACTTATTTGATTTGGAAATTTCAAGAAAGATTTTAGGGTTTATAGCTTTGATTCTAAAACGCCCTTCTTTAAATCAATCTTAAAAACTAAAATTCGAATTGGATAGTAAAATATATTATACAACACATAAACATAATTTAAATTTTATTTGACTGAACTGTTCTTTTTTTTAATGTAATCCTTACATGTTCTTAGAATAAAGATTTCAGTGTGACATCGAATCGAATTTTAATTTAAGTTTGGTAGATTTAGAAAATGCTTCTTTGAAGTCGATGCCATTGTTTCCTAATACATATTTAATTACATAAATTCAGAGGTTGTAATGTCACATATGTCAATTTCAATAATGATTGTAAATTGTTATATTAAATAATTTGTTTGTGCACATATAACACT